CCCCCCCCGGCCCCCAAACTCCTCCTGCACACTCCTCAGGCCCCTCCTTACCTCCTCCACTCTTAAGTCGTTATTTGAACGTAAGTATTCAGAGCACTCTTTGCCCGTTTTCGTCTCAGATGCTAGCATGTGACCCCACAAGGGGTTTGGACAACTATGCACATCCACGTTGAAATGTCACAAGCTCCTACTAACCGGAAGAACTTTGTACCCAGCTAACGGCGCAACGGAGTTTAAGTGGGCTAATGTCAACCAACAGTGCTCAAGCACGGGGGTGAAGTAAGACGACAGTCCAGTAGTCACGGATCTTCTCCAGACTCACTCTCCGTTTCGGACATTCTGACTGGTGCATATGTACCGGTGAATGCAAGATCATTTGGCGGGGAGCTCCTTGGGCAGCTCCGCCATAAAATTGGGATCAGCGGTGATTTGGTCAAAGAAACTGCATCCACAAAGTGCACCAGCGAGATTTGGAACCCATTCTCCGTACCTTGGTTTCATTCAGCCTATCCAGTAGGGAAGGCTTATTCAGAAGACGGCCTCTACATGTCTGCCTGATTCAGTGCGTCGATCCCGCCCCGTCACTAACTTGGCTGCGCCCCGCTCTTGCTCCTTCCTTAGTTGGTTTGCAATGCGATTTCTACCGTCGTTGTTTTTACCTTTCCAAGCCACCCATGCCCCTGTAACCCCAACTTTTGGCTGAACTTCTATCTAATAATAAACCTAGTTATGACACTAATGTGTTTCACTATTAGAAAGTAAAGCCTATTAATATTAAACACGAGCTCTTATGCTTTACCTTTTTTTTTTTAATTTTGAATATCTTTCCTATTTTAGCCATTGGTTTAATTCCCTCTCCTTTTCTTGATTCAAGAATGATACGTGATATCCGAAAGTGGAGCCCATTTCCAGCCGCCAATCTAAGAAATCTTTGCCCCGCTCATGTGTCAGTCTAAGCAGGGATGATTATGCTTATCGATGGTGCCCGCAATTACGTCGTAATTCGCTCAGACCACGTGACGACTTATCCCCCGCAAAAAGCAGCCCGTGAAATCGTGTGCGC